CCTCCAGCTCTATGTTGAGGGCCTGCAGGGGCCACAAGATGGTGGCTGGGAGCTCCATCTCCATGTTGATGGCCTGCAAGGGCCACAAGATGGTGGCTGGGAGCTCCATCTCCATGTTGATGGTCTGCAGGGGCCACAAGATGGTGGTCAGGGGCTCCTCTCTGTGGTGGCCCCGTCGGTGCTGGACAGTGGTGGCGACCGCCTTGCTCCTGGTGGCCCTGTCCTGCTCCTGGCGTGGGGCACAGACCCTCCCCTGGGTGCGGGGCCATGGCGACATGGGGATGCCACAGGCTCAGCCCCACCACCACATGCCCCTTGGCGCCTTTCCAGCTCTGCTGTCCACCCCACCATGGGGAGAAGGCAGAGCATGTCAGCCAGCAGACTGAGCCACTGCTGGCCCCGTGCCAGCACCGTCCTGCACGGCACCAAGCCATCACAGCCCTGCATGTTCCCACGCTGACTGTGGCCCTGCATGACCCCACGCCACCCATCACCCTACATGTCCCTGTGCCACCACAGCCCTGCATGTCCCCATGCTGACTATGGCCCTGCATGACCCTGTGCCATTGCAACCCTGCAGGCCCATGGGGAGCTCCTCTGGACACACCGACCCCATCCCGTGGGGAGCTCTTCTGGACACATTGACCCTGTCCTGCAGGGAGCTCCTCCGGACACCCCAACCCCGTCCCACAGGGAGCTCCTCCAGACACACCAACCCCATCCCATGAGGAGCTCCTCTGGACACACCAACCCCATCCCACGAGGAGCTCCTCTGGACACACCAACCCCATCCCACAGGGAGCTCCTCTGGACACACCAACCCCATCCCACAGGGAGCTCCTCTGGACACACCAACCCCATCCCACAGGGAGCTCCTCTGGACACACCAACCCCATCCCACAGGGAGCTCCTCTGGACACACCAACCCCATCCCACAGGGAGCTCCTCTGGACACACCAACCCCATCCCACAGGGAGCTCCTCTGGACACACCAACCCCATCCCACAGGGAGCTCCTCTGGACACACCAACCCCATCCCACAGGGAGCTCCTCTGGACACACCAACCCCATCCCACAGGGAGCTCCTCTGGACACACCAACCCCATCCCACAGGGAGCTCCTCTGGACACACCAACCCCATCCCACAGGGAGCTCCTCTGGACACACCAACCCCATCCCACAGGGAGCTCCTCTGGACACACCAACCCCATCCCACAGGGAGCTCCTCTGGACACACCTCTGGACGCACCAACCCCATCCCACAGGGAGCTCCTCTGGACACACCAACCCCATCCCACAGGGAGCTCCTCTGGACACACCAACCCCATCCCACGAGGAGCACCTCTGGACGCACCAACCCCGTCCTGCGGGGAGCTCCTCCCCGGACACACTGACCCCTGTCTGGGTACTGAGCAGGCTGTGCTGAGAAAGCCACCTTGAATGGGAAAACTCGTATCTGAGAGGCAGCAACACTGTGTTTGGGAAACTTTTGAGGATTTTACTACAGATCTAATGGTTTAACCTCCATCTCGCCCCAGGTTGGCGGCAGCGAACAGGGCTCAGGCAGGTCTTTCGCCCTGTCAGGCTCTGTGGTCACGTGGGAATACTTCCGGAATCTTGTTTCTGTCCTCTCCGTGATCACCAGGCTGGGTCAGTGGGGAGGTCCCCATGGTGGGGGGGCCTCTGTACAGCTCCCATCCATGGGGCGGGCTGGCACCTTGCTGTCCAGAGCGAGGGAAACCTGCAGACGGAGCAGCGCACGGGGCGCCGGGCTGCTCCGAGCGGGGCTCCCAGCTCAGCAATGTGGAGGGGCACAAAATGGTGGGGGAGAGGGAAGAAAATGCATCGTGAAGGGATGAAAATGTGACTGGCTGGATGCTCTGCTCAGTTAGAGAAACTCCTTAGTGGCTGGGGTGCAGCAGGGAGCACGCCTCCCGCGGATGGGAGTGGAGGGGCCGGGGGGGTTGCTGCGGGTGCTCCCCACTCACTCATTTTATTTCCTGCAGATGCAGCGGTGCCTTTCCCGGCACCGCCTGTAGGTGAAGTGGCCATTGAGGAAGATCCCACAGAAGTTCTTCCTGTTGGCACCTTTAGGCCCTTTCTTGAACCTGGGGAGAAACGTCTCCTTTTCCAGCAGTTGCAGCTCATGCCACTCTGCCCAAGGACAAGCCCTCACTGCTGTGTCATGTCCTGGGGCTCCTGATGGCCTTGGCTATCTCTGGGATTCCTGGAGCTGCTGATCTCCTAGATGCCTGGCGAGAGCCCCAGCCCCAGCATGGGACAGGCAGGGGCACGTGGCCTGGGGAGAGTTTCTGGCCCCAGGGAGCCCCAAATCTGCAGGCGGCAGAGAAAGCCCCTTACCGAGTTGCTGGGAAAACAGTGCCGTCCAGCCAGCACCACAGCTTGCGGGTGACGTTGTAGGAGAGGCCAAGCCAGTGGGGCAGCGACAACCGAAGCGGCAGGTTGTTGATCTCCACATGCCTCTGCATCTGTATTTTGATGAACTCCTGTGGGAGAAAGAGGGGGCGGTGAGCGGGAACCCCCACATTCCCCCCGGCGCGTCCCTGCAGCCCTGCCAGGCAAGATGCCACGAGACCAAGGTGCAGGACTCCTGCTGCGGTGGCCCCATGGGACAGGCCAGGGCCCCCTTTGGGCTCCTAAACACTCAGCGTCCAAGGCCAGGCAGGGCAGGTGAGCCCGCAGCGTCACGTCCCCTGCGTCCAGAGACCGCTCTGCTGCCTGGCTTGGACAACCCCTCAGAGAGGGCGGCAGCCAGAAGAAACAGCTCCGCAGACAGACAGCGATATGAATAAAACTTGTTTGTCGCGCTGGCAGTTCCCTCTCCAGCCCCTGGCGTGGAGAAGGACATCTCCTCCCCGCTAGGAGGAGGGAGGCCCCGGAAGTCACCATTTCCACCTCGGAGTCGATCTGCAGGAGCTTGGAGCCCAGGTTCTTGCAGTAGTTCACGCACTTGCCCCACGGCTGCGGCGCGCGGGAGAAGTGGTAGCAGGTGTCGCCGCGCTGCTCCCACTCCTCCAGGCATGCGACGCATTTGCTGCCTGGGTTGGGGGGGGGGAACAAAACCCAACGGCCCGTTACGGCCTTTTT